TAGCATTTATTTAAGTGACTCCTTAAATATTTCAAAAGAAAACTGTAGTCTCAGCTTACATTGAGCTTTAGATGAGATTATATAAATAAAAAAAGAAGAATGGAAATATAAAATGGATATATATTCCTTTTAGCTTCTAATGCCAGGACTCTTTTGCTTGTTATTTTTCTACTTTGAAATGGTGGCTTATGTTTGATCACTCATATGAAAAGTCTCGGATTTCTGGCTCGTGAAAACAAACGAAAGGCAGAGGCATAGGCGCAGCCCTGCAATTACAGGATCATACCACTGCTGGCGGAAGGGGCTCCGCTCAAAAAGCTCTCAGGAGACCCCTATACATTGTATGCTAGCCCACTCTTCCATGCTGTCCAAACGGTTTAGAAATAGTGGGAGTTCCCACACTTTACCCCACCACAAGCAAAAGTGACTTCCTGCTCAAATGAGAACTGTGAGGCGGTGCTCATCTCCTGTTTAAGGCCCTGAGCCAATGGCAAAAGTCCCCATTCCTATGACGGGGGCAAGTCTTACCAAATGACAACCACTGTTGACTTCTCCACAACGTGGTACTCGTTTTATTGACATCAGTGGGATGATGTGCAGAGGCAATAGCAGATACCTCAAATGCCATTTTTTTCATCCAGACCGGAACACAGCCATATTCTATTAATGAGACAATAGGTAGCTGAACGCGCATTGGCCATCACATAATGCTCCAAAGACATTTTTTTACGGGCTGTTTATGCATTAATTTCAGTTAAGTTATAAGCAAGATTTGATTTGTCTAAAAGCTCACATAGTCTGCCACACGGTTAACTGAACACCCCCCACCATACCCCTCCACCCCCCCACATCTACAGAACCTTTGGTTCATGCCTAAGCTATGTGTAATTGTGAAATACAGCAACATTTGCCTGTGCTGGTACTTTGTAGCTAAAACGTGCATACTATGCACATGAATTCTGGCCTTTTGGCCAAACTGTCCTCATTAGTGTCATTCTTTATGCTAAAACCGAACTCCGAGTCACTCCGATTAGCACGGTTGGCTACGTATGGTGCGAAACAAGTTCAACATACAAACATACTCCTCTCTGGTGTAGTATAATTAGGCATATATTTGACTTCTGGGGTTCATGTGTGAAGAGAGCAGGCATTTTCACTAATTGAGTGTCCGTACGTCTGAGTGTAACCCATTCCCCTATGCCATAATTAGGTCTGCTTTACGGACTGTTTCATCAACTTAAGTCGACATCATGCTAAAATGTGCCCCAACCTTTAAACCCATGGCCTCCCGGCTGCTGAGGTGACGTCAGGCACCATGCGCTGTCGTGCATCGCCCTGTTAACTTGAGTCCTGTCTGCCGCAGCAGTGCGGTGGCCCACGGGGAGATTGTTACGCCAGCAGTGTCACCCGCATACTTGCGGACGGCATATTGTATGAATGTCTGTTGAACTTCTTTTGCACCAACTGTGCTGAACGGAGGTGTGTTGCAAGGACAACAAATTAAACAAAAAACAATCGGTTATCAAGGAATTCGTTTACAATCTAGATTTAAAGGGACTTAGCTCCAATGGCTTCCTCAGATCGGAAGAAAGAGCGTTCCAGACGACCGGAGAAGCCGATGTGAAAGCGCCACGCGATGCAGTGGCGGTCTTTGTTCGATGGTTAGCCAAAAGCCGCTGCGAGGATGACCGCAGTTTGCATGATGGTTTACGCTCCTTGATGAGATCAGCAAGGTATGTTAATGTCTATACTTATAGACACACATGTATTTAAAATCCCACGACACTCCGTTTGGTGGCCAGATTCATATATCAGTGTGTACAGCCCCACAGCGAGACGTCGTGCTACTCAAAAGAAATTGTAAATGTTGTGGTTTCACTCTTCAACACACCGTTGGGCTAAAGTAGTGAACTATTTGTCTTTTGCTGATTGGCCGTGTCGGGTGGTGGAGGGTTACGACACATTTATAAATAACGCGATCTAACCCAAAAACGTTGATTATGAATAATATTGGTCGCGAAAGCCTACGTGTTCAATCGGAAGGTAACGTTGGCAAGTGTATCAGTCTCCGTTGAGGCGGTGAACGGTGCTTGCTGATAAACCATTGCTGCCCTTCCGCCGCACCTCCGATTAGCACGGTTGGCGACGTACGAGGCGAAAGAAGAAATTCACATACACATCTATATTCAACAGTAAAGTAATAGAGTGTGATGTGAAGAAGGCTAAGCAACAAAGGTAAAATTGCACCAAAAATGAAAAGTATATAAAACGAACAATTTTACTTCCAGGAGATGATAGTGATTAGATGAGGCAAGTGAAATCGATTGAGACATTTGCACAAACTATGATGTATAAAAGTCAACACGATGGCTTACACAGTCAGGACACATCACAGCATATCAACACATTTACAGAGGTTTACCTCGAGGCCTATTTGTCAAATTCTCATTGGACTCATTTGCAGTTGGGATTGAATTTAGACCCAACTGGGAGCCAAGGGGATAACATAAATTCAGGGACGTCAACTGAAAATGATGCCAGGCCAAACCTATTTTTCTCACACTCTCTACAATACATTCAAAGGGGGGTTGCACATCTGGCTGTGATGCAATCGTGGCGTTAACCTGTTTGTAAAAGCATTGAAAATAAATATTGATCAGTGGAGTGTGTAGAACTAATGGTAACCAATATGGACGTATATATATATGTACATATATCCAGTGTGATACAGCCCCTTTGTTATGCCACTGCTGGATGATGGCCTCCCCCATTGGGTGCAGGTCGTGGAGGTTATTTGACGATACTGCACGGAGGTCCGCATGGGTTGGTGAAGGCGGGCAGCATAGACGTTGGAGCACAGTACAGGACAACAATGTATTTCGCTGCACTACCATTGGATTACCACAACATGGCTCCACAGCAGCCTACAGCATTCCGCTTGCACGCATGGTGGTCGCCCGTCCAAGCACTGTCCATGTTCAACCCCACTTAACTTGGGTGCCGTGGTGGCGGGATGTTATCTCCCTCGCCTGGTGTGCAGGAGGTCGTGGGCTCGATCCCAACCCTGACACCTGCTGCTGTATATTTGGAGTTTGCATGTTCTCCCCCGTGGTCACGTGGATTTTTCTCCAGTTCCAGTTTTTCTCTCCAGATTTATAAATGTGTGTTCAGAGTGTCTGGCTGCTGTAAATTCCCACGTGGCAAGCCACTTCGTTGACCTATCGCTTGTGGCCAGGTCGCTTCTGAAAAGAGCAAATAGCTCTGGGGTGCCTTTTGCCTGGTAAATAAAATAGCTTTAGTTGAATTTCACTTGATCGAGCACATTCCAGGTGTTTTGGGCAGGTGATCTGATCATGGCCAATGTAGATACCTGCACACACACACTTTGGGAATGGCAGAGAGATAAGTAGACGAAGGTACAGTAGCTGTGTTGCTCAGGAAGATAGTGCCCGTAACAAAGCGTTGAGGATAACCTCTCAATTGATTCTGGCTGTGAGCAACAGGCGCCGTCTACAATCCGCAGTAAAAAAACGTTCTCATGGCTATCAACTATCACGGCTTCGGGCCCAATTTAGTGATCTGCATCCAGATCAGATCAGAGCAGTTTGGCTGAGCGCTGAATTCTGTCCATTGCAGCTCCGAGGGCTCTATGTACACTCGGTGTGTAAGGGTTCACCCCCCCCCCCAGGCCCACCGAAAAAGTCCATCACACTTTAGAGTCACGATTCTGACGGGTGCTCGGATTTGAACCCCGCATTTTAGCCCTACTGCGCCAGCTTATTACCACTCTGGCCCCTGAGCCTCGCGGTCATTTCCGTTAAATCGCTCGTTTTATAAACAACTGTTGATGATAACAATGACAGTTTCTATAGTGACGTCGCATGGCAAGCTGTTATCGATGGAGCACTAAGTGAGGTTATATTACTTTTTGGTTCTCTCGGTAAAGTCACGTAGGTATCAAATGAAATAAAATAAATTACGACGTTTCGGGCGCAACACAAGCGTCTGTCATCAGGTGGGAAAGCTTTTGTTGCGCCGAAACGTCGTGGTTTATTTTATTTTATTTGATACCCACGTGACTTTACCGAAAGAACCAAAGAGTATGGATTCCTGCAGTCACGAAAGCTTCAAATCAAGATTGAGGTTTTCTTGTTTAAAGATGTCCGTCACATATAATGTCGCAATGTCCCGTAGGGAATCTTTGGTGGCCTAGCATTTCCAACTGTGCCATGTGATGCCTATGGTGACACAATGGCAATTATTGCTTAAATAATTATAATTGTCATCTTCGTCTCGCATTTGGTTGCAATGGCATAGTGTGCTGTATTCGTGAATTGTTAAGCACATCTCTTTACAATGTCAGTGTCATGCCCTGTCAGTCCTGCGTCGACTCTTTTTAGGAAACTCGCGGGTGTCAAGACTGGAGATGGGATTTTTCTGCCTCTTTATAAGCTAATCCATCTGTGCGAGAGAAGAGATAAATAATGAAACAAGTAGATGTAGGTTATTTCGTTAAATGATATGGCCAATCTATTTTAAGAATAACATGCGAACACACGATGCTAATTGCGTGTGCAAATATTCATTCTATTTTCATCGTTCGATATTGGGTCAACTGAATATCCAACAATTACATTAGTATGGATTTTTATTTGCAATTATACACTCTCTCACTACATAATCACATTGCGTTTATACAGGCGTGTGTGTAGAATACTTTAAATGGTTACATCGCTGTGTGACGGAGTTCCTTCCGTTCGAGATCGACGTTCATGTGAACTTGATGATACTGCTGGACGTAATAATCTCCAGTAAAGCCTTGTACCCTTTAAGTATTGTGAGATTACTCTCCAACAACACCGGTGTTGTTGTCACCGAAGCAGCAAGAGATTAGGCACGTTTGGTTCACACGTTTGTTTACACGACCTAATCCAAAAAAGAAACCAGTTGTTGAGTTCCTTATGTTACTGACTAAATAAATGTGCCTGTTTTTTTTCCAGCCGGAGATGATGCAACGCGAAGCAAGGTAATGGCTACTTGAGACGAATCTCTCCTTTTAATTTATAAAAGACACGTGACACAATAGCATGGCACGTAAAAAAAAAAAAGAACTAATTTCCTGGCAGCCAGTCCGCCGTCATATCGTGTGCATTCATGACGGATGCCATTAGCGGAGTGCGAGAACATGAATGCGATGTATGACGGCCCTTGACGTTAAACAAGTGCCAAGCACAGAGCCAATCAATGCACTTATCCCCGAGTCCACATTTGCTGAATGCTCCTGCACCCAACGAGCACAAGAGATTAAGCCACGACACTACATTGTGGCGGTGACGCGGCCCAGCGGTAGTGCGTTCGCCCTGGTTTTTACTGCTGGTGTAATAACCGTAGTGATGATAATAATATTGCTACTATGTGCCATCTGCTTCACAGTAAACACTAATGAATGCCTGAGTAAGGCCGTTATGTGCTGCCATGAGGGTCCAATCGAAAATGACACCGCAAGTTATTCAATTGGGATTACACATAGCAATAATCTCCCCCTACTGGGAGAATAATGTCTGTTTGTAGGCCAGATGTTGAGTCGCCGCTACACTCCCGCTTCTCCATTCGTAGCACAGTACGGCCGATTCACCACCACTGCCACTCTTATAAGAATCAACACGACGAATCGATGCAGCCGTTAGACCTCCAACACGTCTGATTTTTGCTGCGGCTATACCTGTTTCTCTCCGTGTTAAACTGACCTCTCTCTCTGTCTGCATGCCCAGCGCGTGCCACAGGAAGGTTCGCGAGCCACGGAGTCCCACGGTGATGAAGCCCTCTCTCCGGCGCCCAGCGTGGAGATGTTGGATGAAGAGAGGGGGGAGCCCAGCGAGTCGTCATTCAGTGACCGCTCGGTCCCATCAACCCCAGACACGAGCCTGACCCCAGACAAGGCTCAGAATGTGGCCGGAAAGGACTCCGACGTGGAAAATGGACCTGCTGGTGTTAGATCCATTAAGGTCTTTTGATGATTTTATTTATTTGCACTTTGAATAATTTTTGTTCAGTGTCTTGAGCATTTTTTGTTGATTAAATTTTTCTAATAAGATCATTTTGTTTCGTTGCAGAGGGAGAGGCCGAACTTTGACGCCCCCATTCCGTTTGAGCGGCAGCCCTCGTGGAAACGCGTGAACAGGGGCTCGGTTGGGCACAAGACCAAAAAATCTAATTATTCAGATTTCTCAGAAGATGTAAGTAAACAAAAAAAAAATATGTAACATTTGTATTGTATACATTTTTCGCAGTATCACACTCATTGGGCCTTGACCCAGAATGCACTGGAAGCTAAGCATGTTTTGAGTGCAGGGAAAGTGCTTGGAAGGGGGACTGCCACGCATAAAGCAGGCAGTGTAAACACTCGGGGCAGCAGCAGAGGGCACCACAGCAAAATCCACTGTTGTACTTTCTATGCTTCTCACAACCTGTGTTTGATCCGCGGCCACGGCTCGTGGGTGATTTCTGAACTGGTGCCGGGGTCTCTCCCCTTCGCCAAACCCTCAACGACCCACGCGGTGAATTAAAATCACGAATCCTCCTCCCCACTTCGCTCAAGAAGGGCTCAAAAATGATGTCATCACATCTACCCCTCTGTTTAAGGAGCGAAACAGGAGGATTTATTCACAAATCTGGCTGTCGCCTGATGAAGCTAGTTGTAATTACTGGTGAAACGTCGTACTTCAGATTGTAAATGTTGTGGCCTTGCTCTCCAACACACCGGTGTGCTGTGCTAGTGACGAATTGGTATGTTCTGTTAACGTGACAAACCTTACTAATTGGCTGTGTTGGGTGATGGCGGGTTTAACGACACATTTACGTGATCTTATCCCCGCGCCCCACGCGGCACGCGGTTCACGGAAGTGCCTCGACAAAAAAAAAAAGGCTGTTACGTGCAAGCGTACATGCCCGCAGTGAAGCGACGTTACGTTTCTCTGCTTCGCTTCCATTGCAGCCGCCTCCGGAGCCGATGAACGAGAGCGCGTCGTCCGCGGAGAACCTGGCGCGTTACGAGGTCTCCATTTGGGATCTCAAAAAGGGCGAGGGCGGCGTCGGCGGTGAAGGAATCCGAAGCCAGCCTCCGTCGCTCTGCTCGGAGAGCACGCTGGACGACACGGCCAGCAAGTTCTCGGACCTCGATCCTCCGGCCATCGACACGTCGGCCGACGAGCTGGACGACGACACGCAGACCGAGTGCAGCAGCGGCGACTCTCCCCGCCTCTCCAAGGCGTCGAGTGGCCTCGACGAGAGGCGCGGCTCGTCGTTCGCTGACATCATGCAGCAGGAGCGGGCCGAGTGCCAGGTGCGGGCGATGCTGAGCAAGCCGGCGAGGCGCAGCACGCAGGAGCTGGTGTCCAACTCCTCCGCGACCCAGAGCCAGGACGGCAGCGCCGACGAGGAGATGACCGTGTGCAGCAGCCCAGTTCGGCAGCTCGCTGACGGCGCGGTCGACAGGAGCTCCGGGGAAGACACCGTCTGCACGAGCCCGGTGTTGGTGAGCTCTCAGGTCGGCAGGACCGAGTGCTCGAGGGAAGACACTGCCATCGCTCCGGGCTTTTTCCCAATCGGGTCCCCAAGCAGGAAGAACAGCACAGACGACGAAGAGTTCTTCAGCGTTCTGATTCGCACGCCCTCGAGGCGAGTCAGCAGGAGGAAGAGCAGCTTCAGGGTTGAGAATTCGGCGCCGTTAAATTCTCCGACGAGTGAACTCGGCGTGACCGTCAGCAGAGCTACCAGCGTCGAAAGTCAGAACTCGTCCTCGGTGGTCAGTAGCAGCAGTGGCGGCAGCAGCGGCAACGATGTGGAGCTTCATTCTAAGGTGCTGCCGGGCAATGCTGAACATTTGTCAAAGGGTCCGAGTGCAGAAATTAGTCTGGATTTTCCCGCTGCAAACAAGGAAGAGCCCTTGACCTCTGAGAGTGAAATTACAGACAAGGCGCGCTCCAGTTCACCAAAAGTTGCTCGTGCATCTTCCTTCTCGAAGCAAGACAGCTTTCCCTTAGAGGAAACAAAGAATGATTACAGGTGGAAAGACCGCGTCGGCTCTGGCGTTAACAAAAGAGACAGTCTGGCAAACATTCCCCAAGGTTTGGTGCGGGATTCTGTTTTTGCGAAAAGAAAAGCCGAAATCCACAACTTTGATAATTTCCCCACTCAAAAGTCAGCTTCAGAATCGCTTGATCGACGCGTTTCATCTCCGTCAGTGGAGAGAGCCTCGGGCAGTTTCAGCCGTAGGCGCAAGTCCGAGAATCCCAGAGAAAAATCTGACAAAAATCAGACATTTGTAGAAGAGACCAAAAACTTGGATCCATCTGAAGCTGCGAGTGAATCGCACGCGGAAAACGTTGCCAAACAAACCTACGGCGTGACCGTGTTTTCTGGAAGCGTTGTGAAGCTGGCAGCGGCCAACGAGTCTCCTGAACCCAGCCAAGACTCGTTGAACTCGAGCTCCAGCGCATTGAGCGACGCCGCGAGCATCAATGAGGGAAATTCAGACCGGGAGCCGCCAAAAGCGCCAGGCCCTCTCTTGCCGACCGCGCCTTTCGGCAACGAGGAGTCTCACGGCGGCACGGGCAAATACGACAGGGCGACCTCGCGCACAGAGCCACGGTCGCCGTCCAAAGAGCCGTGCGATGACTCGCGCATGCAATCTGCCGGTCGCTCGTCCAAGACATCCACCCTGTCCCGACCCACGACCTTGCCCAGCCGGCCGAGGGTAACCTTCACCGCCATGTCCCACTCCGTCCACTTCAGCGAGTCGAATGACAAGTCCAAGTCGCGAGTGTTCAACATGGCGCGACAGTACAGCATGAGGATTAAGAAGCCCAAGTCCCCGACCGACCCTACTGCTGGGGTCTTGGAGCAGCTGCAGAGGAGTGACGCGCTGGAGGAGAAGCTGAAGTGGTTGAACGCCGAAGGTAGGCGCTTTGTGCTCGTTCGCCGTTGCTTGTTTGTTTGTTCGGCCTCTTTTTGGGCTGTTCCCTGCCTTTTAAAAGTGACAGAGAACGGTCGCAGGCAAGAAAAGTGGGTGATTTACAGCAGCAGCAGCAGAGGCAGCAGCGGCAGCATCAGAGGAAATTGTCACGAAGTGTGCCGCATGGAGTTTTGCGTTGATATGGATTTGCCACATGAGGATATGAAGTAAAGCGGCATGGGCTCATGGGTTTCATTTCGTCTCACCCCACGAACTAAAGTAATAGCTGCCCACGTGACCAGTTGCTCATGAGACTGTATCTGTAACAAAATGCTCTCAGCAAGTATTTAGGTTTTTGTTTGCTTTGCTTTATTTTTGCCACGGGGCTGTTTTGAGAAACTGAATAGTGTTGTTGTGTCTTGGAGAACGCTTTGATGACTTATGGTTGAAAGAGCCCTGAAAAGTATTTTTTGCAGTATTCATTTAACCTACACTCGGATACAGACTGGTTTCTGCATAAAATTAGAATAAGCGTGCCCCCGTACTTTGCATATTGATGTGTATTTTTAATATAGTGTGGATATTGCGTGATTTTTATGTTGGAGGTTATGCCTCATTATTTAAATTTATTTCTGAAAAATAGGAATGCCATCCTTAATTTACAACCAGATACTAAACATAATATGAAATGCATGTATGAATATAATGAAGGTACCCTTGGCCAGCGATATTTCAGAGAAAGAGATTACAAAGAGACTGAGTTTGAAATATTAAACCATAGTTCATGTGCAGGTAATCTAGGAAATTGAAAACATACTCTTTCATTTATCAGTGACTTCTGAGCTATGAAAAATTATTCATGCCTATGAAACGTTTGGTGGCAAATTAATGTATAGTAAATTGCAAAATAATAACCTCATGTTAATATATTTCAAGATATTTCCTTTAATCTTCAAAGACAGATTGCTTTTACCGAATAGTATAAAATCTTAATAATAACAACGTTAAGGCATTGGTTAATCTACTCATGGATGAAGGCCTTTCACACCCCATGTCAGTGATGGGCGGCTGTTTAACCAAACTTCACCATGCCAGTTCGTGTGGGTTGGTGAAGGGGGGCCCAGGACAAGTTCAGACAACACTCACCACAGATAGTCCGTGTGTATGTTGATCTTCTTTCGCACCGCCCGTAGCCAACCATGCTAATCGTTGTTGTGTCCGCTATTATCCATACCCGGGAGCCAAACTTAGGCTGCTGAGTTCACGGTGCTGCACTGTGCAAAAAAGACTATTTCCTTAAATGTGTAACAAAGCACGTGTGGTGTGTGTGTCCTTGCTTCCCCCCCCCCCCCCCCAATTTATTTATTGTCCACTTCAGAAAACAAGCTGGGCTTTGATAAAGCGGTCGGCGCCGAAACTGTCGTCTATCCCAAGGTCCGGGACAGCGGGGTCAACAAAAGGTCAAGCGTGTTGAGCGACACGTCGATAACGGCCGCTGCAGAGCAGGCCGGGTCGGACAGATCGAGCACGGCATCGCTTCCCCCGTCTCCAGGCTCCTTCACGAGCTACTCGCCCAGATGTTTGTCTCCCACCTACGTGACGAACAGGTTCTTTCCGGAACCGAGTTACTTCTCCCCCAAAGGGGGGGTCAACTGGCCGACCGTGAAGGAGCTACGGTGTCGCTATCTGCGGCTGCTGACGAGCGACGGCGGCGGCGACGGCGGTGGCGCTCGAGCCAAAACGCTGGAGCGTCATTCGGATGGCCGAAGACACGGGTGTCAGCAGATAAGAAGAATCAGCTCCGAGACCGGCACGGCCTCCACAGGCACGGGTGAGCCGAGGTCGGAGAGCAAGCGTCTCCCGCGGACGAGAGAGGACTTGGGCCTTGCGGATGAGACCAAAGACGAATCGCGGAGCCGCGGGGGCAACTCCTCCGGCAGCAGGGCGCACACAGAGTCGGAGAATAACGGCGCCGACACGGCGGCGATTCACCTCGGCAAAAACTTCCCTTACATCGTCACCGACGACATCCCCGTCTTCGACTCTGACGTGACGCTGCAGGACAGTCCCGGCGTGGTCGTCGTCAACGGCACGTCCTGCGTCGGCGGTCGCCCGACGAGCAGCCCCGCGGAGCGTCTCGGGGCCCCCCTTCCCCTCTGCGGCGTCGAAGACGACGGCGACGACGACGACGAGGACGAGGGAGAAGAAGAAGAGAACGCTTCTCCAGCCGGTGCCTCCACGAGGGAGCGCAAGCAGATCTCGATTAAGCCAGCAGCGGAGAGGTGGGGCCCCCGCGAAGGAGGGGCCCTGGGCCCCGAAGTGGCGGCGTGGCAGCGCGATGGGAACAAGCGGAGGGGCATCGCGTTCGGAGGCAGCAGGGCACTGTCTGCCGGGGAGGGCATTGGCATCGTCAAACAGCTGAGGGATATGTTCCAGAGATTGAGCACTTCCAGTCACGTCTAGGGAAGGTGGCGTGATGGTCTGACGTGGAAATGTTGTCTGCCCGTTGTTGTGAACGAAAATGTACAGGTGGATGTATGGATGTTCAAGTTCTTTCGCACCGTACGTAGCCAACCGTACCAATCTGAGGTGCAGATGCCTACTATGAGTGGATTGATTTTGTATATTGGAACTTAATTCCACATTATTGTTTTATAGGTTCTGGTTGTTTTAGATGTTTTTTTTTATAGTCCTACAGAGAGGGACAAAAAAAACATACAAATAAACTGCCAAATATATTAAGATGTAAAATATCAAAATAAACCCCACGTTTTTGGGCAAGGAATACATTTAGCAACGATAAGTTTAATTACATGTATCGTGTGTAATTCTGTAAAGTTTGAGTGGTGATATATTTCCTTTAAATTAATGGTCGCAACTGTAGATGCTTTAGTGGTGTCTTGCCAAAATTATATAGATGCCCATTTCTACGATTACACAATCAGGAAGCAATATGTAAACGAAGCAACAAAAAAGCAATATGCCAGTGATAATTGCTACATCTTAAACATACAAACACGTTCTTAACTTATTTACATTAATTAAGAAATAAACCAAAGACTGTTCATCAACATACTAAGGACCAAATTGCCTTTCATGCAATGATTTGCCGCTGCTGGCTTTAATCGCAGCAATTGCAGTAAGCTTGTATCGTGCTCCAAGCTCCATCGCAAAGCAGCGTGGCTTCTTTACGCGTTTACCTGCATCGTCATAATTAAGTGTTGCACTATGCAAATGACTTGGGGTTGATTCCGAGTTGCGTGACGACAAGGGCATCACGCGCATCAGTGTCGCCTCGAGTGTCCACACGAGTTGCGCATCATTTGAGCGACTTCTTCTCCGCAGAACCTCTGGCCCACGTGGTTGTGCACGGTGGGGAAAGCGAGATGGCTGTTGTGAGACGGAGGAAGCGATGTCTTCGCTGTTGGCAGCAGTTTCCAAACGGGTTGACACGTCTCAGACCGAAAGCTGGTGATTCTGTGAGCGCGAAAGCTGTTCCATTCTGTGACGTCCAAGCGTCACAGTCAATAGCACCGCCCCACCGCCACGCACCCAATGCTGTTGGCATTTTGCTGTCATTCTTACAGGGCCCTTTATTGCAGAATACCACGGAGAGCGCCGGGTTTTATATTTATTTCTTAAACATACGCTCTTGTTTACGCTGCTCACACAATGAAAAAGCAGCCTCATTCGTGATTCCACACGCGGTATATATTGACAGGTTTTTTCTTTTTTTGCACTGCACGACGCGTAAATGGTTCGACACGCAGCAGCTTTTTTGGCAGAGGTGAGGGCAGGTGATTATCAAACGCGTGGACTGTTTTTTGTCTTCTCCAACGCAGACCTCAATTTACCAATCAAATGGCGCTTATCCTCTCTGTGTTTTTAAACAGCAAAGCAAGATGAGGCAGAAAAGGACAGAAGAGGTTGAAATTATCCGGCTTTTGCCCATTAACGAAAAATACACAGCTCCCTCACAAATTTGCTCAATCACAGCGAAAAGCAAATGTCACTTTTTATTATTTACAGAGAATAATGTCAATTTCGTTCACAGCGATTAACCTGCGCGCGATTTTTTTTTTATTTTGCCTGATTCTGAATAATAGGCTCCAAGTAAAACACTGGGATAGTGGAATCTAGTTATAGAGCGAGCAAGTCCTGGTAAATGTCACAGCCTCGTCATGTGTGCTCGTAGTTGGATGGAGTGTGTGCGTGTGTATGTGTGTGTGGTATTAAATGGCGTTTGTCAGTCACAAAAATGTCCTGCACAGGGTGTGGCAGCCAATTGCAAGCGAATTGAACGGTAACTAAGCGAGACGGAAGTTTAAACGTGACCATCGTTTGCCATTTCCATCGCGACAACAAGCTGTTCACCAGCTTCAGATAACAACGTGGCCACCTGCTTTCTGGTCCGTTGCTTGAAGGTTGCCAAACCTTCCCATCGCCATTGTTGTGCGCGAATGTTTCAATCGGTGCAGCTGCGCTACCGCCTCGCCAGCATGATTACTTCTTGAAACATTCACGTCAATTACGCTGCGCGAAAAAAAAGATGTATTAGCCCAGCTGTGTAATGTACAATCGAAGAACCGCCCCGTCTGTCAAAGGAGATAAATTATGGTTATGTTCGGCCAAAAGAGCGTTCGCGTGACGTTAGCCAACGCGTTTTTAAATGACCACTATACGTGCGCCGATCGCACCGGGCCGGGTGTCGGTGTGTGTTTGTGCGTACATTCGTTCGCTGTTTTCCACGTTGTGCAAGAGATATTAGGTTGCATAATTTTTTTTTTAAAACGACATGTTGTTTTTGTTTTTGCTGTAACATAAATTAACAGAACATAATCATGTTTAATTAGAAAGAAGCATATGAAAAATGTAAGCAATAATTAATTTTTTTCTCAGCTGGTTTTTCCTAGTTTAATATTTGTGGGGTATCTGTATACGTTACTCTGAATGGTGCAATAATAACAGAATCATGTATAATATAAAACAAGATCTTTTCGGGTAAATTCTTTTGTACGCTGTCACTTTTAACAGAACCTAGGCAGCTGTTTGAAATCTGTGGTATCATTTAATATCTTTACATATACGACAGATTATGGTCAGGTGGAGGTTGTAGCCTGACGATGAGAAGGTGCAGTTCAAATACATAATTGGGCCCTATTTCTTTTTGTCTTAGGGAAGCACTCATCCACCTTCAATTCGCCATTGCTTGCATTGCCCAATTAGCACTCTGGGACGGATCGTTTAGGTGTGGCTTGCGAGCATTTACGTAATAATTTTATTTGAAATAGCGTAATTCATGCAATTACATCGCACAACGCTGCAAATCAATTCGCCAGTCCCTACATAGATAATACAAAAACAAAACCCCACTACTTGAAAAACAATGAATATGTAAATAACGAGGAAAAAATTACAAGAAAATTCTCATCACAGAGAAATTTTATTTAAATAAATAAATTCGTTGGGTCTCATTACCCCAGATCACAATCTCAACATTTTTCCGGATTTAGGAGAACCTTCACAGGAGGGTTGGTGGAGTGGCAAAAGAGTTATGAGCCAGTTTGAATCGGTTAATTGATTTGATTTGTCGGATGTGTAGCGGAAGAATGTCCCAGTCTGTGGGGCTGCACATGTGAACGCTCGTCCACCAATTACATGTTTTTTGGGGTGGACAGCAAACCTAGTGAAGCAGAGCAGAGAACCTGACGTGGGAAATAAACTGCCTACCACATGTTCTCCTGGCACAAATTGTATTCCATTACAGAGTGGACTTTACAAAATAAAGAGAGAGGGCCAACGACCACCGTTACGCCATTTGGCGGTGTCGCCAGAATTATCGCGGGAATTTTACGACAACGGCAAGAAAAAACATAACATCGTTCGCGTTTGCCTGTTGGCCTGCATCACACCGTCACTGCTGTCGCGTTGACCCTGGCAGTCGGGTCAGGTGAACTGGGTGCCGCGGTGGTGAGGTGTTAACTACCTCGCCTGGTATACAGGAGGTCGTGGGTTTAATCTCGACCCTAATGCCTGTTGTATATTTGGAGTTTGCGTGTCTCTCTCCCCGTGGTTGCGCGTGGATTTTTCTCCACGTCCTCTGGTTTTTTCCTCCTCCACATTTAGAAACACGCGTTTAGAGTATTTGGCTGCTGTAAATGTCCACGCGATAAGCCACTTCGTTGAGCTGTCATTTGTGAAAAAGAACTACATAGCTCAGTGGGCCTTACCGGGTTATAAAAAATAGTCTTAGTTTAGATGAAACTGCAATGCACTGAGGGAGCTTTGTTATCTGTATTGGCCTGAGTTGTAAATACTACTGTTGCATTTATTGTGGCAATGCGTTTCCTTCATAATTCCATTGCACGGTGATGTAGCAGCACTAATGTGACAGCCACACTCTCGTTGTGCTGGCCCGTTTGAACGCAGATGCCGGCCCAGACTCAATAATAAGGCGATCGAACTTCCGCCGTTGCGTTCATACAGCTGTAAGCATTACATATTAGTTCTATACCAAGCGGAGGGGAATCAATTGAGGAAGTTGTCAAAAGCAATAATGAGAATTGTATGTGCAGCAGCGCATACCTGCAGGATCGTGTGTTAATATTAACGCTGCAGAGACTGTCGCCTCCGTCGGAAAGAAAGGCATGCTGTACACTGTAAACATCAGACATGTCCAAGAATAAATTGTAAAAAAAAAATGGTTCATAACTTCATATGCTGTTGGTGCACGGTGTCGGCTGACCATTTTCTTGATCTTGTGTAATAAAATGGCTCGCAAACAGCAATGAGCAGTTTGGTTAATTGGGATGTGAATTAATATCGCTTCAATCCAACCACGAGGTTCAGCTATGTTGCCTGACTTTGACATGTTTACTTAGGTGAGTTTAAAATCCATCTTCAACTATGTACAGCGGGCAAAGTACTAGTTTGAGGCAAATATCAACGCTGCTGCTCCGCACAGCCGATGAGCACGGTCGGCTGCATCCTGTGCAAAGGAATTCTAGATTTGAAGCTTTCGTGACTGCAAGGATTCATTCTCTTAGGTTTTTTCGGTAAAGCCACGTAGGTAAAAAAGAAAATTTATAAAAGTAAAAATAGAAATAAAATAAAATAATAAATCATTTTATTTTTAATAAAAGTAATAATAGAAATAAAATAATAAATAGTTTTATTTTATTTCTATTAAGTAGTAATAGTAATAAAATAAAATAATAAATCATTTTATTTTATTTATATTATTACTTTTATTAATTTAATTTTTTACCTACGTGACTTTACCGAAAAAACCTAAGAGTATGTGCAAAGGAAGTTCAACATAAGTGGCCGTACGCGATGGTCAGGTCAAAGGAATTCCTGCTCCAATGAGCATCGAGGTGGTGCCCGCCTCCTGCTTGTGGTCCTGAGGCAGTGGTGGACATTTCCGAGGCGGGTGGATGTGGGTTGATCCCAGAGGACAACAATCAGTGTTGGCTTCTTTAAAAAGCAGTACTCGATTTGATCTACCTTGGAGCGATGATGGGCCGTGTCAACCTCCGCCCCAGGATTTGAACGCGCAATCCTCCGATTGCAAGCGGCTCGCTCTTCCGCTGAGCATCCCGGCCATCTATAATTAGTGACGATGCCATTCTCATTAATTTAGAAAAGCCTCTTGAGACTTGAGGTTTTTTTTGTCAGTTTAAGAAAACCGAAACACCCAGAGAATAGTCACACATACGAGATGTGAACACTCAGCAACCACAATCTCCTAGTCACCTCGCGAGCCACAGCACCTGGCAAGCTCTAGCGGTCTCCCGTGCAAATATTATCCAGGCTCGGCTTGTGAGGTCAGGTACATTCAGGGTGATGTCATAGACACCTATGCATGGCAGAATATCAGCAAACAAATGTAAGATTTAATATTTTTATTACACTAATGATGTGTGGCATGGAAAAATATCAAATGCAAGTACTTCATTATGCGTACTGCATACTAAGAATGTAACGAAAATCCCTTTGTCAAACCACTATTGGGTAAAAGGCTGTGTTCGTCTTGGGGCCTTTCCATACTTCACCCCAATCATCCGTGCAGGTTGGTGGAAGTGCAGACCTGGACCATTTTATCTCTCGCTGGCCACTGATGTTAGCCGTGACCAGCAATCAAAACTCCAGTTGACAGGTTCATTGCACAGCGCACTAAAAGCCGCCGTGCCATTACACCCTTGCATTCGCAGTCAATAAGACCCATTGGTCATTTAAGTACGATAAACGTCTACTGCAATGTGTGTTAATCCGTCACGCAATTAGTATAGAGGAAATATCCTGAAGATGTTCCTTTGAGATGGGCGTGTCTGTGTTATCACGGAATGCTTGTCATTGTTATTCTTATTTAAAGCAACGCCGTATTTTTATCTCGGGGAAAACAGAAAGAGATTGTTGGGCTCAGATAAGGCATAGAGGCGCATGTGCATTAATAAAAATGTTAAGCGCCTCCAAATGTATCGACTGAAAACAAGTAATGTATGCATAGTGACATCGTTTGTAACAGTGACTGAAAATAGACATCAGCAGGAGTAAAGGGCACACGGGCGCTTTAATAGAACGCATTTGTCGCAATTTCCTGACACGGCAATTTGTTGTGCCGCTCACAATGGCTTTTCAAGGTGGCCTAACGTCGCTTTAGTAAGACGGGAATTTGTTTGCGACGTCGGATCTTCCTTCGACGATATCCACCTGGACAATCAGTCTTGTCAGGAGGATGGAGCGCAGAGTGTGTACCGTGGGTGATGAGCGAATCGCGATTGAAATGATGAAATATAGGCGCGGACGAGAGTGATAATGGATTTGGTCACGGAGAGCAGCGCAAAAATATGCCTGGAGATTCCAGTTTTCATTCGGCGCATCTTACCTGCGACGACATGGATCAGACTCATGGAATCTAACATCGAGAATGTAACCGAAGCTGAAAGGTCCACCGGAGAGGTATTGAGAGACGCAATTAGCTCGTGACAACACGGAGAGGCGAAGAAAGGAGCACATGTATCGGGGGACAAATGCAAATTAGAGACATCGTATGCATTCATTGCTGGGGGAAGTAATTGGGCTTGGAAGGTACACATTGCTCAAAAGGTTGATGGCCTTCTAGCAGCGAGAGACATTGCGGATCAGACGGGGAGACAGAATGGCAGCCCAGGGGAGAGAAGAGCGTACCCAGGAGGACGTCCATCGCGGTGCCATCAGTTCATGTGCACGGGTAGAGATGGATTATGGCATGGCACGACCATGACGGATGGCACACGGCACGGTGAGACCTTTATCCGGCAGTAGCTGGAGCGGTGAACTCTTTTGAATTGAGGTTCCTCCAATCAAAAACACCGTAGGTGGCATGTGGTCAATCCAATTTACGTGAGCAATGCACGCTGTTTCCTTTATTAATCACACTGGGGGTGTAACATGTACAGCAATAGTAGTTTTCAATGAATACCATTGGTGAACGTGTTCAATGAATACCATTAAAATCACGACTGTCTTTCGGAAACGTGGTCTTGTCCATTGTTAGCATTTAGATTAGAATTGTCTTTTTTATCATTTATAAATAAATGCTTGCATTCTACGTCAATTAATCCTATTGCAAGTGTGCAGTGGCCGGTGGATGCTGCCTCGCGGAATGCATCTTAATGACTGTAGTTTGTGAGCAATGCAGTAAACTAAGATTTAATGCGGGGGAAATGTGCATTGCAGCTGCAGAGAAAGGTATCCAGATTTTGCGGAACCCAGCACAATTAGTACTTTTTTAAGCAAGCACGTCTCTGAAGAATCAACACTTCATAAACGAATACAATGACAATTAACAGTTTTTGTAAAAGCGTGAATTTTCGCTCACCAAAACAACACATAACCACCTTATAAACATCCCACGAGCCTTTATGAATACAAGGACCCAAATTAACTTCCTCTGATTAATAATGCTTTTTTAACAGCTTATGAGTGTCTCTATCTTTCTCTCTAATACCCTGCCTGCACAAACCCCTAACATCTTTTTAATGACTCTTAGGTGGAGACCTTTCGCGTGCATGGCACAGTAATTAAGAGCGTGTGCATGGCAGGGCACTACAATGCGTTGTGTCAAAGGGAGGGCTCCATGGATTTTGAGGAGCAGCCATGGGTGATTTAAACATTCTATACTTTTTTTCCTCCACGACCACTGATTTATTTTTTTGCACTGGGCCAGTCACGCCGCTAGGCATGGCCAGTGGCCCTTTTGTTTAAACGTGCAACCGAGATTGCAGCTGCAATCTATAGATCAAGTCCCAGCGTCTCTGTGGTGATTCATCACTGCTAGGGTTGGCCTTCAAGTGGCTTTCGCCCAACTGAGATGTCACGATAACATCCTATAGACCGCTTAAAAAAACATTTACTTTGTGACTTTATTCAGAACCATTGGCCAGCGTTCATGGTGACCCGTTAATTTTCAGACATCTCAGATGTCACACTATGCGTGGTGAATTGCTACGTGGTGATATGTTGTCCGTTTTGAATGACCCATGTACTGCGTGCTGCAAAGTGGTAATTGGATTAGGATACGGCGTGGCTCAAGTCACCGGAGGCTTAACCTGTCCCAGTAAAATGGCCCACTTGAAACAACGCTGTAATGTGCGTGTCAATGTGTAGGCTGGCGGGTGGGGTATTGCGTGTTGCCCGGCTCAGTGATCCGTGACACGCAGGGAAATGTCACCACTTTGGGCACTTGTTTCAGGAGAAGGCATGGCAATATCAGCCTTGCCCCCCACTGTGACGCTAAATATCTATTGGCATGAAGCCAAATATTGTGTAATTATAGCGCTCAATTATGAACTGTCATTGCCCATCATTGTAAGATAAACAGCCGTGTTAAATCGAATGTGTATTGCGTAAATTTATCGCCTTCAGTATCATGAGTGCAAGATACTCATTCGTGGAAATTGGCCAAATATTCCAATGTATGAACCTCCTGAAGAAAAACAAGTCTTGAGAATACACGAGGCTTCCCTGTGTAAATCAAGCGCATTATTGCAAATGTTTCGTATGCATTATTCATTGTAGCTTGAAGCTAATATTTCTCAATGCATGTTATTATTTGGCAATATCATCACCATCGTCACGTGATGCGCATCGCATTCTTCCTTGTAATTTAATTAGCGAATCAGTCGTCCTTCCGAAATCAGATGAAGAGCTGAAAATAGGCTCTCACCTGATTATATAAAGGGCCTGAATTGAACGATCTTACACCCTTCCCCGAAGGGAGAGAATAGGACAATTCCTGGTGCAAATAGAGACTTGCATAGGCGTGACGAGGAAGACCCGTGCCGTTTTTTGTTTACTTTGGGTCGTGCGAATGATACAATAATGTATAATGAAATGGCCAGCAGCTGTGTTATCTCACGCCCCATGTGGGGGTGGAGGGGGTTGCTGGTTGGGTGGGTGGGTTAGTTGGTTCGTTGTGTACAGGGACTACTCGACTTACGAACACTCGACTTACGAACTTTCAGAGATACGAACAATCCAGTCCGTATGTAACAGTCGCCCGTTCGGACCGAGAGTCGTAAGTTCAACCGCAGCGCAACAGATGGCGGTGGTGGCATCTACATCTGCAGTCCATGAAGAACCAGTGGCATCTACATCTGCAGAAGGTGATACAACTTTAAAAACATTACTCGTGTTTAGTGTACACGCCGCACAACGTGTTTGGAATCGACAGGAGAGTAACGTTGAGACTTACGACAAATCAATTGACGAACAGAAACCTCTAGAACCGAACGTGTTCGTAAGTAGAGGAGTCCCTGTTTCGACAAAGGGCCGGCAATAGAAATAACAAGAAGAGCGATGTGTTTGGAACTCTGTAAAAAAAAACAACCCCATTATTTCAAGAGCTCCCAATGCACGTGAATACGAGACGGTGGCTCTTCATAAACAACGCGACGAAGCAGCCCTTAAAGAACCTGCAGGTTTGTCGACACCCTGGCATCGACGGTGAGTCGTCGTTTGGGTGGGTGGAGGTCGTTGAGTGGATTGTTGAGCGAGTTAGGGGTCGGGAGGTTAGTTGGGAGTGTGCTTGGTTAGGTGTGTGGGTTCTGATTCGTTGGTTGTGAGTGGATGTGCTAAGGGGTGGTTGATGAGGGGTTGGTTGTGTGAGTGGCTGGGTAGGTGTTTGGTTAGTTGTGTGGGTGGGTGTTTGGTTAATTGTGTGGGTGGGTGTTTGGTTGGTTGGGTGAGTGGATGGGTAGGTAAGTGGTGAGTTGTGGGGGTGGGTATTTGTTTGGTTGGGTGAGTGGATGGGTAGGTGTGTGGTGAGTTGTGTGGGTGGGTGTTTGGTTGGTTGGGTGAGTGACTGGGTAGGTGTGTGGTTAGTTGTGTGGGTGGGTGTTTGGTTGGTTGGGTTAGTGGGTGAGTGGATGGGTAGGTAAGTGGTGAGTTGTGGGGGTGGGTGTTTGGTTGGTTGTGTGAGTGGCTGGGTAGGTGTGTGGTTAGTTGTGGGTTGGTGTTTGGTTGGTTGGGTGAGTGGATGGGTAGGAGTGTGGTGAGTTGTGGGGGTTGGTGTTTGTTGGGTTGGGTGAGTGGATGGGTAGGTCTGTGGTGAGTTGTGTGGGTGGAGGCTTGGTTGGTTGGGTGAGTGGCTGGGTAGGTGTGTGGTTAGTTGTGGGGGTGGGTGTTTGTTTGGTTCGGTGAGTGCTTTCGTGGGTGCGTGGTTGATGGATGGCTTTGCTGGTTGTTGGTGTGTGACTGGTTCGGTAGATGTGTAATTAGTTTGTTCACTTGTTGATTTCGTTGATTTCGTGAGCGTTGTTGATTTCGTGATTGGAGGTCGTTTGCGTGAGTGAGCGGGTGATAGGTTGGGTGTCGATCGGCTGTGTAGAGGTAGTGCTGGTGGGGAGGAGGCGAGATAGTTTATCAATGGGCGGTGGATGGAGTGTGGAAGGGAGTGGAGGAGGCTGTGTGTGGTGCCCGGACATCACATCTCACTTATCGGTGGATGATGGCTGGTTGCGAGAAAATTTCGGCTGAATCATCCATTCCGCTTTGGGGGACGTGCGGGGAGGGGTTTACGAGGCACACGCACTGCGCATAACGGGCACGCGGCTCGCTCCACGGAGTCTCTCGCCTTTAATTGTTGGGCGCTGTTGATTTAAGCGCGTGTTCATTTACATCCCACAGCGGTGACTTGGTGTTGACGATTCGCTACCCGCGCGCGTTCTCGATGTTGTTATCAGTGAGCGCCACGCTGCGCTACGAACCCGGCGACCCGAGTTGGATTTCCGCTCACGGCCAACAGCAGTGACTATTATCTGAACCGGTCCTGGACCTACTCTAGGTCGACTCAGCCTTAAAAGGTTATCCGGTGCGGAGACAAAGGCGGCCGGGCATGGCGCTGGCCACCCACCCCCTCGTGTGCCGTGCCGGCCTTCAGAGGGGCTCGCTAACAGCACTTGCCCCAACAGTCTGTTAAGGGCAATACGGGGGATCTTTGTCTCTTCATTATAGAGCAGCAGTAGCAGCATCCCGCATCTGCGTTGTTGCGCAACGGGCAACAACGCACGCTGCGCTGGGTTGCTGTGTATAGGAGGTGGCGACGAGGTGGGTGGGGGGGGTGGACGAGCGGAGGGAGGCACTGAGTGAGCTGAGACGCAAACAGAACGCGCTGCGTTACACGGAGCGGAGGGAGCGAGTGGATAGAGAGAGAGCGAGGGACGGAGGGAGGCAGTGCAAGATCCACACGGGCATACCAAGTGACACCGCGTACCCCGTGCGAAGACTCTCACTAAAGCGCCGTCGGACCAAACTTGATCGGGATCGAGTTTGATTATTATTATTATTGTTTTGCACGAGGCAAGCGGGGCTATAGGAATAAGAGGAATGAACTTTTTGAGGCTGTGGGGTCGGAGGAAGATGGGTTGCACCGTGTCGACGGATGAGCACACGGGAGCGCAGAGCAGCTCGGAGGGGCAGTCGCAGCCTTCGCGCAAGCAGCAGCAGCCGGAGCAGCAGCAGCAGCAGCCGCAGCAGCAGCATGCAGCAGGAGGAGAGGGTCACCAGCTACCTGGGCCACCACAAGCTCCATCCGAGAGCCAGAGGCGGCTGGTTCGCGACTCGTGGCTGGCTCTGCAGGGTGACATCGCGCGCGTTGGGGTCATCATGTTCGTGAGGTGAGAATGGTCTCGGGTTGTTATCGCTGCCGAGTGGAGGTGTTTGTTTTTCACCCGGCTGTGATGTGTGGAGCTGGTCAGAACTCGTGTGCCGTGCCGGACTTCATAGGTGCTCGCTAGCAGCATTTGCCACAAAAGTGTGTCAGGATGTTTGTCTTGGGTGGTTTTTGTTTGTGGAAGGCTTTGTGAGCGGTGTTCGCGTTGTTCCTTGTTCGGAATGATGTCCGACGTTTCGCTTCACGTTGCTGAGAGCTTCTTCTGAAACTGAATTCGGAATTCGGAAATTAAACACGAAAGCGCACCGGGGACGCGATATTCGAGTTGTTCTCGAATCGGTTGTTTAGGAATTGTGATTGGACATCAAGGTTGACCTGCGTTTGTGCTTTGTGGATTTTTTGAACATTTGGAAACACATGGCGTAGTGTACTGCACTCATTACGAGCCCGGCTAACATCAGTGGCAAAGTGGTAGCTCAAACCGGTCCGTCCTTCTCCCCTCTAACCAAGTCGCGTTGCCCAGGGTGGTCACCTTGAAACTTGTGGTGAAGAATGGTCGAACAACCTGCATGATCGAAAGGGCGTTATGAGAGGTCTTAAAATCAACCGTGGGATGAATATGCCGTGCATTTTATGACATTATATTGCAATGCATTTCTGATGCAGAAATTAAATGTATCAAAATATATGTTGAAAAACCAAATCAGTTGGCATATTTGCCCACGTGACAACTTTATTTAATTGCCTCTGTCGTGTGGTTGAGAGTTATAGTATTTAAAAATGATATACCCACACGATTTAACCCCAAAGAAACCAGTTATTCATCATATTGATCGCGAAAACCCTCCGAATAAAACGAAGTCTTTTTTTTGCAAAAATTGCCCAAGCTTCAAACGACTCCATGCTTAAAATGGATGAGACTCACAAGAGGACATCTTAATACCAACACGCTTGTGTATGTTTATGTTATTAACATGGCTCAAACTGCTTTGTAAATATTAAATATAATTCATTAAGAGTGCTCGATACCTTTTTTTATGGACACTCTGTGATGTTACTGGAATTTGCTTAGCTGGGCAAGACCCATTGAGTCTCAAGGTTCGCATTTATAAACTAAACATTTTATATTATTTTACAAGGTAAGTCCCATTGAGATATGTAGCTCTTTTTCAAAAGCGACCTGGCCACAAATGATAGCTCAACAAAGTAGCTTATCACGTGGTAATCTATAGCAGCCAAATACTCCAAACTCACATTTCTAAATGTGGTGGGGAAAAATTCTGGAGGACCCAGAGAAATATCCACGCGACCACGAGGATAACACGCAAACTCCAAATAGACAGCAGGCGTCGGGATCGACCTCCACGACCTCCTGCGTACCAGGCGAGGGAGACACCATCTCGTCATCACGGCGCAATACAGGCTCCTGTAGCTGGGAAGTGTGTATTTGATGATCGTTTTTGTTTTGCCTGTAAAAGGAAACTGGAGAATTACCCGAGAACACAGAAGCCCCATCATGCATTGAGGGAGGGGGGGGGGGGGAAACTTCTGAAAGCGTTTGTCATTAACCCACTTGCTGTACTGCCATCTACTGTTGACCTTTTGATGATTGTCTCACGTACTTAACCTCAGCATAGATCCACACCCTCGCCTCCTTATCTCTCGTTTACAGGTTTGAAACAATGACTTTGCATTCAATGCATTTTTACATATGGGCTGAACACAACACCCAGTTGAATACGCATGCCGTTTATTCGCTTATATTGCAATATATTTCTGATACACATGACATGGGAATTGCATGAAAGAGCTTTTGAGTCAGCGTTTATCAAACTAGATTTTTAAAACAAAATGCAATATTTTCTCTATCAGGGAGCTTGTGTTTGCAAAGTCAGCAATAAATGTGTGCTGACACTCTTGACTGTTAAGGGGCCATCCATTTAGTACGTACGCATGCAGGGGGGAGGGGGGGTTAACCCAAATGTGTACGCTTGCGTACGGGGGGTCTACTGACAATGTGTGTACGCATAGGAAACGGGGGTGGGGGGGTGGTAAAGCCTCGATAATAATTTTTCTACATCGGCCTTCAAATGAGTTAGATAGTCCGGCGGTGGACTATCTGTTTGCTTAAACACGTTAATATTATTAATCCTTGATCGTTTCTGCGTGGATTAAACATCGGCCGTTATATAGGATTCGGGGGGGGGGGGTGCGTCAGGCGTATGTACGCAGGTGGGGGGGGGTGTGTAAAAAGTCCGCGTGCGTACAGGGAGGGGTAAAGTTTTGACATATTTTTTCGTATCTACTAAATGGATGGCCCCTAAATAAACTGTTGTGGTAATTGTCCTGAGGTCTGTTTGGCCTCCTTTCCACTGATTCATTTTACAAGCGCTATCCCTGATAACGAAAAAATAAATCACTGCCGCAATTTGCAGAAGCACAATGCAATTTGTGAATTTGATCAAGGCAAAGGAAGGACATTTGGGTAATTATTATGAACACTGCATTCAACATTTGTGTCCCTTGTTGTGCATACCATGGGTAGCAACGTTTAGCTTATTTATGAAAATGAAAGAAAAAATGTACGGAGAAAATTACCTCCGTCGAACAGGCAACAACTCACTCTTCAAAATCACAATTGATGGAATTATATAATAGAGTGCCTTAGCTTCCCAAGTCAACTCAGGCCTGCTCAGCAGTTCAAATTACCAGGCTGATGGCACTCAAAAACAAGATTACCCTTGTGATGTAGGGGCCATAGTGGCAGTGATATAATGTCGGGTGTTTATTTCTTTTTTTAAAGCGGTGCTGAATGCCATGCAAAACATTCCAGAATGCTGTTGTGCGAATTACTTTGGCACTCCACATCAATCTTGCCTTATTTTGTCCTTATTGTACCCTCTATTCCTATAAAGCTGCTCATCGGATTTTAGAATTGTAAGATACAGTCATACAGGGCAGTGGCACAGTGGTAACACTGCGGTAACACTGTGGGGAGCACTTTGTTACCTGCAGTAGTGTATGGCGAAAGCCTGGGAGAAGAGATAAGTTCAATACGTGGCCCTAGCCAGAAACCCACACTTCGAAGTACCAGTGGCTGAGAAAACCCCTGCACTTAGATGTACTTTTGGTGGTCAAAGGTCTTCATCAGAAAGTGATAATAGGTGTGTGTTTTGAATGGTGGCATCTAAGCGTGTAGTGACGCACTGATTAATTGATTATAAGATGGATTTTTAAAGCTCAAAATCAGATTGTGCAGATGAGAATCGATTATATTTGATTTGTGAATAGTGTCATGTGTTTACTGTGAATCATGCAGCCACTGGAGGTGCTTCAATCACGAGAATAGAAAAAGAAGATGGGTTTTTGAATCGAATCACAACTCTGACTTTGTGACAAGTCATCGATTTGCGAATGAAACAAATTGATGTCCAACCATTCCTCGTATTGACCTGGCTTATTATATACATATTTGGAGAGGGGGGCACACACGGCAACATTTTATGAGGGGCCTTGTGCGACTTTGGGTCCACATTCAAAATTAGATCAGCGTGTGCAATTTAAGCCATGCGTGTGCTGACAATTATTTAATGTTTTGTTAATATGGTCCTGCTAGTTTGACATTAGGAGGGTGTGTAATTGATAATCACGACTGTTATGCGAAAAATATAAATAATCTTGTGGCAATGTTATATTAGTCACAGACATAATAGGAATGCTAATTGGCCCAATGTTGCTCATCACTTCTGAAGGCCCCTTCCATTCATCCGATCCCCGTGGGGGTAACGTTTATGGGACTTAATTCTGTCATGTTTTAAACAAATGTTTATAAATTTGTTTTCAATGACTAGACCTCCGTTCATCTCACCGCATCAAATTTTAATTATTTTGGTGCATCATCCTATGGGCGTTCCAGACAAATATAAATCAGCAGCATTTGCCAAAATCAAGCAAATTCAACCTGTTCAACCGTTCAGGCCTTATTCGCAAGTTTAACAAGACTTGGCTGATGAGACCCTGAAAGTAGAAACCAATGCAGATCTGCTTGTTTGGACATATGTTGCTGTAAAATATTAGTTTTTAAAATACCATACGCTGGTGGATGAATACATAATGCGGAGAAATTAACACATGTTGATTTAACCATAACACTCCCCAACAATGCTTACGTTTTTTTTAACATCACTGCGGCCAATAGAAAATCTGATGGCATCTAATTAGGTTTTCTTAGAACCAGCGTAAGTCTGTCTGCAGCACTTTTAATCCACTGCTGAATGAAAGCTTCTCCACGCCCTGTCGGTCAGGGGGATGTTTACCACACTTTACGCTCGCTGGTTAGTGCGTGTTCAGATATCACACAGCAGTCTTTTGTTGTTCATGATTTGAAGCTTTCGTGACTGCAAGGATTCATATTTTTAGGTTTTTTCGGTAAAGTCACGTAGGTAAAACATTAAAATTAATAAAAGTAAAATAAAATAAAAATCACGACGTTTCGGAGGCAACACAAGCTGAAGACGGAAGCTTGTGTTGCCTCCGAAACGTCGTGATTTTTTATTTTATTTTACTTTTATTCATTTTAATGTTTAACCTACGTGACTTTACCGAAAAAACCTAAGAAAAAGAATATAGTCTTTTGTTGTGATTATTTTGCATGTTTATCCAGGAAAGCTTCACTGAGTCTCAAGACTTTTTTTTCAAAAGGGTCCTGCCAGGTTTTTGCAGTCAGATGCTATGTGGCTACGTGTCACCCCAATGGAGTCGTTTGCAGGTAACATTTCAACAATGTGACGTTTGGACAATCCCAGTTAGGTAATATTTGTTTTAGCTACGTGAGGAAACTGGAGAACCAGGAGGAAATCCATACAGAACAAGAGGGGAAGATATAAGCTCCGTACAGAAAGGCCCCCAAGTCAGGAATCGAACCCAGTACATTCTTGCTGTGAGGCACACATGTTACCACTGTGCTACCTTGCAGCCATAGACGTTAACCATGATCAGGAATGT